AGAAATTCAACTTTTAAAGCATTTACATTTTTTTTATTTTTAGTTAAAAAACACTTGAAAATATTGAACATGAAAGTTATCGCGTTTGTCAGATCTCTGTGAGCCACCCTGTATATACCTGTACATCACGGTCAGTGGAGCGCCAGGTGTGCGGACATACGCTCCTTGACCTCGGTCAGTTTTATTTAAATCTGTGAAAATTCCCGTGTATTAAACTGTGGGAAAAAAAGAACGATCGAATTAACATAGACACTACCGTGTGTAATAATAGTGATGGGGATGAATATATCGGGTTGGACGTACCGGAGAGACTCTTATTGCCCTTGAACTCTATCCCAAAACAATCATGGAAAATTAATAATGTAATTATTATTATTTTTAAATATTTTTTTGATTGGGCAAGTGGAAAAAAAAAGTTATTTAATATTATAACCATGTAGGTATACAAAATATTTATTATACGAACAAATCCAAGAGAGTACGACGGGGATAGGTTAGGTTGTTTAGGTAAAGTACCTATTAAACTCATGTTTAGAAATTTATAACGGGAATTTTTTTTTTTTTAAATTCAATGATTTGTTCATAAAAAATGTATTTACAACAGATGTTTCCCGGCCGTATCCTTGGACTGTGAGTAAAATTATGTGACTTCCGCGTCCTTCATTCATTGACTGACGGGGATAAAACGGATATATGAATTTACAGGGTGATCAAAATAACGAAATACACACATAATGATTATCTCGGCAATTATATTGACTTATTTCAAAATCATTTTTTTTGGAAATTTCAAAGAACGAACAGCGCTAAAAATCTTACATTAATTGCAATATTTTATTACACAAATGATGCTCCATTACTCTCCCGTTATCCACAAAATGACAAAAGGTATCTCGTAAAAGTGAAATATCTCGTCAACGGGTTGACGGAAATCGAAAATGTTAATGCTAAAATTTATTTAAACCAAAATGCTTCAGTTGTTTAAGTAATTTTTAATACAAGTTGTTATTTGAAAATAAAAAATAAAAAAAAAGGTTTACTTCCAAACTAACGATTATGTAACATTTTACATACTGTTTGATAGGTTCATACTTTCTGAGATAATGAGTGTCTTCCATTACGTTGATCACTCTGTAAAGGATATCTAAGTTTGTGTTTGGAAATCTAAAATTAGATAAACTTTTCGTTAAATAAAAAATGTAGTATTTATATTTTAAAAATTAATTTTCTCGTTCTATAGCCATCCTTGTAATATCGATGGTAACATATTGAATTCATCTATCTTATCAAATTGTAAAGTTACACTGTTAACAAAAAAAAAAATAATAACTAACTTAAATTGTGTCACTACATTTGAAATATGGTGGTTAGGTTAGTACTTATCTTATTGAACCACCAGAGAATTTTGAAAATTGAAATTTGTAAGGGCACCTATTATCTCTGTTTTCAAACATTTGTTTTTTAGGTAAAAAAAAATTATTATATTTTCATTTAATTGCATGACAAGTTAACCATCGAGAGTGACAGTGTAGCACATACAAAGGAATTTTAGTAGGACGCCAAGCTAAATTACGTAAATTAAATTCTCCGGTATTATTTGCAGTTCACTATTATACGGTCACATAATATTAGAATATAAAACTTAGTTAGTAATAAAATATTTACTGTTCGAATAATTCAATATCTCTTTGATTTTTGTAAAAAAAAAAAAAAATAAATAAAATAATACAATTTCAGAGACGGAAATCAATTGTTTTCAATCCGTGTTAGGCAGGGGTTCACCAAGAAAGTTTCGGTATTGGTAGATTGGAAAATTGAATACTTCGCTGCACCATCAGAAATTTGGAACTGCAATTGACGCCACTGCGGCCATAACAGGGATACTGGCCGTAGGCGGTGACCACGTCCTCAATAAATCGTAAATTTAAGAACAAAATACAACGGTCGTTTGTATCGTATTATACGTGTATGTAAACGAACACCATGTGTATTATATATTTCACGATCACAAATGGTTTGGTATTTTAAATGTATTTTTAAACCTCCATATTTAATGGCGTTTATTTTGTATTGTAATTTTCGTATGCATTTCCCAGACGGCCGTGAAACAAGAACTAACATAATTTCTATACAATATTGTAATGCTAAATTAACATTTATATTTAAACTGTTTATTTTTTCGTTCGATTCATTGTAGGTAAAATCCTAAACCGTTGTTGAAATACCGAATCCCTGCTGAAAAATGAACGTAAAATATTATGCCGGATTTCATAGTGTGTTACAATACCGAAACGTATTGAATTTTTCACCGCATTCTTTTTTATCAAGAGCAATAAAAAAAAAAAAATAAAAAAATCTGTAGGTAACCATATGCTTTTCGAATTCGACTATTATACGCATAATATCATTACACTGTTGCACAGCACATTTGGTTTTATTTTGTCCAGACCATCTGGGGTTTTTTTTTCCCGAATTTCCAAACAAAACGTGCACATAATTATTATTATGTTATAAAACATTTTACGACTCAAAATCCACCCTTAAGAGGCCTGTAAAACACGATGTCATTCACGCTGTTGAAAATAACACACGTCTTTGAGATCATTATTATATTTGTATAAGTCACACATTACACTGTTTACACCCGCAATGAGAAATCGATTGTACTCCGACCCGCGTAAATATTGGTATTGGGGATCAGCGCCATAGCCGAAGGGTGGGGAGGGGAGCGTAGTAGCGAGGTTTGTGCATCCACCGTGTATTTATTTTTTTTTAAATCGAATATTTATATTATTTTGGTGTATTAAAAAATATCATGAGTTATAAAGCAAATCATCAGTGTCCCACCCCACGACATTTTTCCCCGGCCACGTTATTATACAACTCATAAAAATAGATAAGATTTTCATTGTTTACCGTAAATACTATGTACAGAGTGTTTCATTTAAGTGGTTACACTCATTATCTCGGAAAGTAATGACTTTTTTTCGGAATTTGTTTTATATAACATTTAAGTAAACGAGCAGCTCTACAACTGTACATGTATAGTATTTTCGGTGGTAAAACCACAACTTACTTTTGATTTTCAAATGGCAACCTCCCACAAATAGATCGAGTATTAGTTAAAATACATTTTAACGTTGAAATTTTTGATTTCCGTCAGTCCGTTGACGAGATATTTCGATTTTAAGTTTGGGTCGGGGGAGAGTAGTGGCGTATCGTTTGTGTGATGCCGGCACGGAGCGCTGCGTTTTAATAACGCGCAACTACTCTCCCCTGACCCAAATTTAAAAGTGAAATATCCCATCAACTGATTGACAGAAATCCAAAATTTCAATACTAGAATTTATTTCAACAAATACTCTATCTATTTAAGGAATTTTTAATATTGGTTGTCATTTGAGAAAGACATAACGGTTACACCCCCCAAAAATAAAGGTGAAAAAAAATAACATAAATGTGAAATTGTAAAGTTGCTCGTTTCTTAAATGTGCTATAAAACAAATTCTGAAAAAAATTATTACTTTCCGAGATAAAGAGTGTACCAACTTAAATGGAACACTCTGTATATTACAATGTAAATAATTTCAATACGTTCAAATATATTAACTGGAGTGTCATTCATCGGTCCGATATTCGGCGGCCGCCGAACCTATTCGGGCGAGTAGAAATCGATTACAAATTCGTGTTCGGAAACATTTAAATAATAATTATTATTATTAATGCGCTTTACTCGCGACGCTCGTGCGTGGGAAAACTGTTATTATAATATTTTTAAACGGTTAAGACGTATTCGCATAAATTATTATTCATGTCTATTAGCTCTAAAAAACAGTTTAAGACTAAATTACATTTTTTTTTTTTTTTAACTATCTAACTTAGAAATTGATTTTTTTAGGGATAAAGAATTATATTAATTTGGATACAATAATTAAAAATATCAATACCTATTTACTGTACGCATAGACGGGAGACGTCATTCATGATAATATTATACGCGCGATTTGTAAATTTCATCATTAAAGCACGTTTTTATTATAATACACGATTTCTGTCGCATATTTTTAAAATTACGTGATACACATCGTATACATAACCGCTTTTGATATACAAACGCACGACGTAGCAAATTTGAATTCAGCGGGGGAAATTTTGCGCTGTTATAGTTTTAATAATATTAGAGCGAATCGAATTTCATAATTTAAAAATTCTTACATAAATCTCACTTAATAGCTTAAAAAAATCCCAAGTAGTTACACAAATCATGTTCTTACCCTGAATAAGTTTGATAATATTTGAATTCACTCTAATATTAAAACTAACAGTTCTACATTTTTCCGGCTGAACGCTAATACGTAAATTTTGTGCTTTTGTAAGACAGAGACAGGGGCGTATTACAGATCGACAGACGAGTATCACGTCCACTTAAAATAGAATAAGTTAAGATCACGAAAGTATAATTACCAGACAATTAAATTTTCAACGACTTTACAGTGGTTTAAGAATAAACCCGTTGGAAAAAAAAACAACACACACTTTATGAGTTTTTTAACACGTGTCACCGATGGTCGTATATACCTAATTAGCGTATTACACAGTTATTATTACCGGGCCACTTGAATTGTTACACAAAAAGTGTGCACCGTGAGAATTTTAGACGGATGTGATATGTTTTCGAGAACATTTTATAATATGATATGTGAAATCGAACCCTCTAATCAAAAAAAAAAAAAAAAATACAAAACATATTCAATATTTGAAGTGACTCCGACATATCAAGTATAGTACCTTTTCTGAAAAAGAATTTTATCTAGTCGGTATTTTATAGAGGTCATTGTTTGATTGTCCAAGCAGTTTTCATGATAATTGGGAAAAAGCGTTGGAAAAACGGGAAATTTACGAAAGTAATGCTTTTATTTTTTTCAGATAGAAAAATAAAATACTTCCTTTTTTAGACCGAATAAGATTTTCAAGACGATTGAAATTTCTGGAAAAAAAAAACCAAACGGCACGTAGTGTTTCCAAGTGATCACCCATCCAAGTAATAATAACGTCCGACGTTAATTAATTTCAGTGATCGGACGAGAACCGGTGTAGGTTTGAGTATCTACCGTGATATGGTCGTTGGCGAAAGACTGTTAGGCTATTATGTTTATTAAACATCTTATTAGTGTTGCCTATAATTTTCTAATACAATTTTTGTTGATTGTTTCAATGAAACTGCGTTTCAAAAAATATACAAGAAGATTTTAAAACCGTTTGTTAGATACTAAAACTACTTTATTTTACCGTGGACAATATTTACCTATAATAGTATCAGACAGTCTTGTTTCAATGAAATGTTTTATAGTTTTCAATGTTTTTCACTTTTCGGGATTACCTAACGCATCGAAATTATTATTATGCGTTTTAAACGGTTAAATCGCAATAGATACCCAGTATAGTGTATAATGCTCAAATGCTTACCCGAATATATTATACGGTATATTTTTAATTGTGCGCTCTAATATGCTTTTCAGGGTTAATTTCAATTCTCCTACCACGTTCAACGGTCCGTTTTCGATTTTTCATTTTATGTTTTAAAGATGAAAACTTCTTCAGGATGTATTAGATTTGGATTTTTAAAATCAAACTTCCAAATGATACAATCAAAGTTTAAATATAACCAATTTTTAGCAAATAAATTATGCCCAAGTCCTTTAGTCGAATCGTTACCATTTTGTCAAATCGTACCTAATTTTTAGATTCTGAGCGGAACGAGGAATGTATTGGTTTTACAATGAAGTTTATATTTTTATTTATAGAATGTACAAAAATTCTACTAGAAATCTTGCTTCTAAGTATCAAGTGTGGCACTTTATCTGAAAGGGAATTTTCTTGGAGTAGTATTTTAAAGAAGTAATTTTTTGATTTTTCTAATAAATGGAATAAAACTTAGGAAATACGAGAAAATGTATGAAATGTATTATTTGAAAATTGCAAATATTACAGTCTTTTTTTTAACCTTCTATACACTTGGTTGTCGGGGTTAAAATTGTCCATCGGTTGTTCTTACTTATCGGAAGAGGCGACTAAAAGGGACTTGTTGAAGGGCAGCAGCTCTTACAATATTGGGTGTAAGTGAAATATTTTTCCGATAAAATACGGTTCCGACAGAATATTTTCCAATTTTTTACGCGCCACTGATATAGAATGATCACAATTCATTAATGATAAAATTCAATCTTAAATTTCAAAAAATCATAAATTAGCGGTAAATCAATAAATTAAAAGCGAAAAAAATAAATTAAAAGTACAAATCGTAGTACAGTAGTAACATAGAAATACAAGAGGGGATGGACATAAACCTCAAATGGAACACTCTAAAAAAGTAACTACGAATGCAACAGAAACAATGACAGAAACAAAATACATAATGCTTAAAAGTCTATAATGCCATAAATTATTGAGATGATAGAAAAAAGAAAAAATACAAGAACATGAATAGTGTTGAACATCAACAACAAACTTTAAGAAACTTTAAGAAACTTTAAGAAATTTGATTATAAAGAAATCTAAAGAAGCAAAGGAATTAAAATACGGACATTCTTCGCACAGTGGGTGGGGCATTGTTTTAGATAAGAAGTTGGGAAGGTAGAATATAGAGAGGAATTGAATGCAAATCTGAACGCAACGATTAATCATTGCAAACGAAAAACGATTCTAAGCGGAGTTCGATTATATATGTTTAAAATATCGTAACATTTACGATTTCACGCTTATACTCAAGAGGCCATAAATACTGTAAGAAACAGGATACAGATAAAGATAAAACTGAATGGTTATAGAATAGACATGCTAAGATTTGCTGACCATATAGCAATAATAACTGAAAATGAAAAGAATTTAAAAATTATTTTTGAAACAAGGAAATGATGTAAAGTGATTTAAACCTGGAAGTTAATGCTATGAAAACAAATATTCTAGTATTTAGAAAACATAAAAACAAGAATATAGTTGAAAGAAGATAAAATTGTAGATTAAGTAGATGATTTCAGATGTTTATGAAGTACTTTAAGCTCAGATGAAAGGTGAAAAAAGAAATATTAAGGAGAATATGCTAGACTAAGGTGACATTTTGGCATTTAAAATGTCTATTTACATCAAATATTAACCTGAACATTAGTAAAAATTTACTAAAGAAGTACATCTGGAGCATTATACTATACAGAAGTGAAACATGAGCTATCGAAAAAGAAAAAATAGAAGATTAATGGCTTTCAAGATGCAGTGTTACAGAAGGATGCAAAAGATAAGTAGGATCGATAAGATCACCAACGAACAAGATTTAGAAAGGGTTTTAGAAAAGAGATCTTTGTGAAAAAGAACAAATAAAATATGAAACGAATGGATGGGTCATATTCTCAGACACGAAGGGCTGTTAGGACTAATTTTTGAAGAGATGGTAGATGGAAAAAGTCACCAAGAAAGACCACGGTTACAATACATGTGCCAAATTATAGAAGAACAAAAGTGTGATTTATACCAAGAATTGAAGAGGAAGGCCAGTGACAGTGAAGCATGGAAACTGTTGCAAACCAATCATAAGATTATGGTTAGGTTAGCAATAGATATGCATCATATCTTTCCAACTTCCAACCCACAACAGTGGCCTACCCATCGTGCCATGTATGTCAGTCTTTTTTGTTAATCTTAAATAAAAAAATCTTTTTTATTATTTTCAGTTGCACACTTTATTGACCAATAGTTTGATCTTCAGTTACACCGGTAACTTCTTCTTCTTCTTCTTGGTGATTTAATTCGTTTATATTCTTATCGTTATCATTCGGTTGATCGTTCTGAAAACAAATTTATGTTTTTTTTTTTCAAATATGCCTTAAATGAATAAATAAATAAATAAATATTTTCATTAGGTCATTTCGTTTTTTGAAACATACAGCGATTTCAATCAGTTCCATGAATTCTTTTTCCACCTCCTGTATAAGTCGGGCTTCAGCCTCAGCTATTTGAGCGTGTTTGTCTTTAGTGGCGTTGTTGTCCTGTTTGACTGACGTTTTCGTTTTTAATTTCAATTCTCGCAGTTTGGCCTCGATAATTTTTTCGCGTCTCGTTTCCCTGTCGAACATCTGCCTCGACAAATTGCAAAAAAAATCACATCGACATCAGTAACATGCCCGTTAAAAATTACATGTTAAACTACTATTTCGTATATGGGACGTACGGCCGTCAATAATGCCTTGTCATTTTTTCCAGGAGTTACAAACCAATCATTCATTTTGATGACATACGTTTTACCGCAGTCGTCACCGACGGCTAACAGCGCTCCACCTTCGTGACAGCGAATACAATTTAACCCTTTGTCTGCTACCTGATAAAAAAAAAATAAAATACAGCAATATTAGGATCGTGTATTATTTTTCTAATTTTTTTTTTACACCTTAATAGTGAGTATCGGATCTTTCTGTTTTTGTAAAACGTCCCAACAGTCTAAGCAGCCGTCCGATCGGGTCGAGTAAAAAACTGACGGTTTTGACTCGCTCCACGCACCGTCAGTAAGTCTCACGTCATGATGTCTAAAAACCAAACCAAAAGACAACACAAGTAAAACGGTTATATCTTTACATTCATCTAACGCATACTTGGTCCACATTATAGGGGATTCTTTTATATCTTCGGACCATATTCTCACTTGCCAATCTCCAATGGTCAAAAAGTTTTTTAAAAACGCCGGATTTCGCTGGGCCGAATATACTGGGCCGTAGTGACAGTTATAAGTGGCCGCTATTTTTTCAAAAACAGTTTTCCCTTTGCGGTTGCCGTTAAATACCAATCCGGTTTCTGTCCCTATCTAAAATATTGAACGAATAAGAAATACAAATTTATAACAATGATACTTGAGTTAGTTTTAAAAAAGTTTATTCAAATTTTAATTTCTTATGTAGTGCCTAGTGAACATTTTTTTGTTCCTTTTTCCTTAGCTTTTATTTAACATAAACTGGCAGATACCCAAAATTAAACCTATTTAATTTAATTGAATAACAATAGGAGTGGTTTAACGATGTAGTTTTGATCAATATGGTTATTTAGAGTTAAGTGAAAAATCTAATTGCTAATATTGTATAATATAATTTTTTGTTACTAAATGCACATTTAGACAACCAGGTTACCGAAAAAAGCAAACAATTAAAAATTACGTTTACTGTCTTTGGATATTGGTTATGCTTTGGTAAAAAAAGCGTTTTGGCAATATTGAAACCAATTAGCAAACTCCAGTAAACTATGCAACAAACTGTTTACGGAAAACTGTATCGCCAAAAGACGCCTTTCATAAGGTTTATTTAACAATCAGGGTATCCCAAATGTATTAAAACTAATACTACCTAGTATTAAAGTGAATTTGGTAATTTAGTATATAAATAAAAACAACAATAATCGTATTAATTATTTGATCATTGGATTACAATAGTAGTTAGCTTGTTGTTAACATATATAAACAATAAAACTAACATGGATAATTATTTTTTAAATTTTTTTTCTCATTATTATTGCGCTTGAAAATAGGCCTTATACCGAAACTAGGTTGATATTTTTTTATTGTATCATTTATATTTGCTTAAAATCTATCATAACCGTACGTACCATGAACCGTATTGGCATTGAAGGGTCATAGTCCATACATGTAACCCCATGGCACCGGGCCCACCTCGTCCATTCCGGTTCGTCTTCGTTTTCGTTTTTTGACAAGTCCAACACTAATACTTCAAGGGGCTCTGAGAGTTTCCGGGCATCCCACCACATGACCTTGCGAACAAGCACGGCGCAATATTTATACATTAATATATTTAAGTTGGCTAGATCAATACGAGAATAAGCGTAATTATATTTTAATTTAAATGACTTGGATGGCTACCTGACCGTCGCTGGAACCGGAGTAAAACTCCGTGCTAGACTTTGAATGAATCCAATAGAGACTTCTGACGGGGTCCCGGTGGCTATGCCTTATGTTGCTAATGGCAGCGTTGGCCGAACCTTTACGCATATCCCAAAATGCCACCTGACCACTCATGAGTCCGCCATACAGACACTGCGCGTCCCTGTGATTGAAGTCAAGAGTGACGACCGGGTGCGGTGACTCGATAGTAAAGTAAGGGGCGGTAGAGTCCTCTGTAAATATAGCCGTCGACGTAACCATCGGTTTAACATATTTTTATACTTACTTACGAATCCTATGTTCAAAAAAAAAAAAAACAACTTGACCGCTTACCCAAGTCGAAAACAAAAGAGTCGGGACTAATGTCCGGTTCAGCCATCTGGAAACGCATGTCGGCATAACTGACGGCTATCAACGTACCCTGGTCCGGTGACCAGGATATTTGTTGTACCGGTCTGATCGGTTCCCGGGGATCCGACATTACAGCCACCGTCCTAAAAGACGGTGCCAGCGTTTGCATTTGTTGGCATTTCGGGTCCATAAAGTACTTTCCATAAATGTCTATGCTGTTATTTTGGTTAATGAAATGTTCAGAGGTCTGTAAAATAGGAACGTAATATGAGATAATATATCGTGTGTATAATAATATAATGTTACTTTTTATATTATGTGAATATATTTTTAATTTTCAAGCGAATGATAGTAAGAATATCTCACATACTTTTCAATAATAAACGATAATGAACTACTTTTGACACTAGAATGCATTTTATTGCTACGAAAAGACGGTGTTAGAAAGAAACGCGTTTCTTTTAAAATAATGGTTTTAGTCCTTTCTATATTAGTCTTATCGAATATAAAAAATAATATTATAAACTATTTAGTATGGACTAATAATAAGTTAATAATCATGTATTACATATTTGCACTATTTATTCAACTATACTATAATATTATAATAATATTGTACCGTACAATTACGTAGGTACCAATGTTTGGAAAGATTTGAAATTTGGAGCATAGCGAGGGATTTATTGGTTTTATTATTATGAGTGTTTTAATTTTTTTTTGTATTTTGTATTTTTTCTGTCCATGAACAACTTTTCCGCCGAAAAACATTGCTCCGAAGTATCAAGTGTAGCACCTTTTCTGAAAGAAAATTTCCTCTAATTAGTGCGTTGAGGATGTCATTTTTTGATTTTCTAAGGAATTTTCAAAATAATTGGGAAAAATCCGAAAGAAAATTATAGGAAAATCGGTAAGTATTTAAGGCGCGGCGTAACGGATTTATATTATTTTTAATTTATATACACGATGTACACGTATCTACCATAAATATTGTTCCAATCGAAAAACGTCAAGATATCGAATGTATTAATTTTAATATATTCATCCACTGACAAAGAAAGTAGTTTTTTAATTTCTTAAGTATTTTCAAAATAATTGGGAAAGTACAAAAAAAAAAAAAAAAACGAAAAATTACATTTTTTTTTTCAAATTACGGCGTAACGACTTCATTATTTAAAATTTTTACGATTTTCGTTAAAATTTGATACTAAAATTCTATTTTACATTCAAAAATTGATTTTACCACAAAGTACGACTCATAATGAACCTCATGAACCATCATAGTAAAACCAATATATTCCTCGCTCCGCTCAGAATCTACAAATAAATCATTATTTCACAACTATTTGAACTTGTTTTAAGTCTACAAACAAAAACCTAGTATCCGATTGAAATAACCGCCCTATTAATTATCAAATATGAGAAATGCGACAAGAGATAGAATTCAAAATAATTGTAGGTACGTTAAAAACGTAGGTAAAGTTTTGAAAAATCTATATTTACACCTATTGTATTGTATTTTAGAGAAATTTGTTGACACTCACGCTTGACATTTGCATAACAGATTGTAAATACGATTCTTCTTTTTCCGCCTTTTTCCGGAACCTCACCACTTGTTCCGGATCGTCCAGACTCATATCTTTTGGCCAACCACCTTCCGCGTGACAAATACCATGTTGGGCGTACTCCACGCGCAATGTATTTGCCTATAAAGGTTATACAGTTATACATTAACATACAATTTGAAAAAACGGAAATAATCAATTGAACTTACATCATGCTCGGACCACTCAATCCCTAAATTAGTTTCCTTGTTAACCGGATTTTTTTGTAACCATTGTTCATCCAACTCGGGCTCTGGCTTTATGTCCACCAACACTTTTGGGCCCCATTTGCTGAACCGGCAACATTTACCGAATTCCCGTCTAAACTTGCCGTACGTATAGGACGCATGCATTTTGTTTAATGAAAACTGTGACCGCCACACAAACTTAACTCATAACACTTCTATTCTCAATGTTCATAGACGACTCATATTATTATCTGTGTGACTGATAATAACTGTTTACTTAGGACTATACTGTTTTGTCGCCCGTAGTTACCGTTAATAATGCGTGTCTATAGTGGCTAGTATAGATTTAATATTTTTCGAGTTCACCGTAACGATCGCTCGGGGAGCACAGGCCTGCGCAGTGATCTTAACCAGGTGTCTGACAAATTACAATTTGCATTCTAACAATTAACTTTTTAGTACATACATTTTCATAAATAAATCATTAAATTATTTTTAAAAAAATAGTAGGTATACTGAATAGTGAAGAGTTGTGATTTTATCGCCAACGAAACTATAACAAACGCATTGTATTAACGTTATGCCGGTACACGCATTCCTTTAAGACCGGTCCTTGGCCATGACGGAAAGGTGGTCCCAAGTCGAATTTGTATTTTAGATTCTGAGTGGAGCGAAAAAGCTTATGGTTTTACAAAGATGATTATTTTTTTTTTTTTATCTGTGCGCAACTTTTCTACCAGAAGACTTGTTCGGATTTCTACGTGTAGCTCTTTACCGTTGTAATGGGCGTGAATTTGCGAATATTATTGTTATTATTATTTTTTTTTCCGCGAAATCACCGCCTCCCACGGACGTCGCCGCCGCGCGGACAACGACCGTATTAAAAAAAAAAAAAAAAACCCGGAAAAAAAAAAAAAAAAAAAACCCCGCGGGTCGGGTCCGTCCGAGACCACGCGTACCGTGCGTTTGTCGTAGGATTTTTTTTTTTCTTCCGTTTCGCTTTGATTCCGCTCGCGGACCGACGGCGACGCGGTCGAAACCTACGTGCGATAACACGCGATAAACAACACAAACAATGAGGCCCGGCGCGCGCGCCCGCCCCGCGCATTATGCACAGAGCCGACGCCGACGTCCAACTCCGAATTCGTCTCGAACGGTAATCGGTTTTATTTATTAATTTTTTATTTATTTTTTTTTTTTTGTTCTTTCTGTCCCTCCGTCCGTCCGTCTTCGCCGTCATCCTACCGCCGCTCACCGCGCGCCGCTCGTCCGCATACGAGAAAAACGACCCGAACAGATGGTTGTCCTTATGCGCGCCGCTCGTCCGCGCGTCGTCATTAGTATTGCGCGCGCGCGCGCGCGCGCGATTGTCATTATTGCCGTTTGCGCAGCCGCGGACAACTGTTCGGCGAAAACCGCGTTTTCCGCGGCGATTCCCGCGGCACCGCCCCGGGACTTCGGCCCGCCGAATTTCCCGGCCCGGCACCACGGTCCGGCCGCGGCGCCCGGTCGCCGATCCGCCGTCCCGGCGCCGTCGGCGCTCGCCATGTGCGCGCCACCTCCGCCGCGAGCCCCGGTGCCTATTACGGGCGCGCCGACGTGACACGCACGCTGCTCCGTCTACGGCCGCGGACCGCGCTCGTTTCCTTGTTTGTACAACCGCGGCCTGTACGTGACGTGTGTACGTTTCCCCCTACGCCCGCCCGGTCCTTTTTGCGCGTTCGTCTTTCCACTCGGCGTCCGCGTCCTCGCGCGTACCGCGGCGCGCCGGTGTCGCCCGCTATGGACGCGATAATATTATCGAGACAGACCCGAGCCGTGCTACCTGCGCGACGCGCGTGCCGCGAGACACCGGCGGACCGGTCGTTCCGTCGGATTTAACTCGCCGACGCGTGAAACCGTTAAATCCGATAAACTGCCGAGCGATGACGACAAATCGGTAATACGGCCGATCGGCGGACCGCGACTCTTCGACATCGCGAAATTTTAACGTTTCACGCGCCGCAGTGTACGCGTCAGAATCGGTTTTTTTTTTTACTATTTTCGAGCGCAGGAGGCGTAGGGGGGGAGGGTTTGTTTTTTGAAAAGCCGTCAAATCTGATAGTTTTAACTAGTGACGATAAAACAAATTGAATCTACTGTACCTACTGTTTTGAAAAATGATTTCACGTTTCTGTAGAAAACGTCAACGAAGACGCTTTTTAAGTGCCGCGTTCAAAACGAACGATATATAGGGTATTGTGGGATTCCTCCGCTTCAACTTTCAAAACTAATATCCGAGCAAAAACTTTAACATGTTTCCACGAGTGTGTTGGCTATACTTTAGAAATCGCCGGCGCTGGTTGTCTATTCGCGACCAGTGGAGTCTTATCCGTAATCCCTCTCCGAAAAATACAACAATTACGAGTATTTATTCAGTCATTTTGATTTTATTATTATGAAGTTACGTATGTCAGCCAAGTCAGTGGCGTGCCGAAGTAGGTTTTTTTGAGGCGATCGTATCATGAATAAAATGGGTAGATGGGTGGATGACCAAATACTTTGAATGTTGATTAGAGATTGATTAGTTCAGAGATCTGGGATGCCTTTAATTTTGTGTATTGTACTATTAATACGCTTACTTACGAACACAATAGCAACTATCCAGAAACCATAAATCTTGCTCCGATTTGCAAGTGTAGCGCTTTTTCTGAAAGGAAATCGGACAGGAGACATACTTTAGAAACGTTATTTTTTATCAAATTTAGGTATTAGTTTAAATAAATAAATGTTACGGCGTTTTTTTTTTCTGAAAAAAATTTTCTACCAGCAAATTAGAGTACGCGACCGAAAAAACTTCATGAATCAACCTGTAAAAATGAAAAATAAACCAAAAAAGAGTAATTGATATTATTGTGGGTCACCAAAATTTAAATAATTTCCAAAATTGGTCGTGTCATAAATTGTTTGGGAATCTCTGTAATAGCATATATTATGTAGCCAACATAACTGAATAAAGTTTTCGCTCTAATTATTTGTAAGACGTGAAAAAATTCATTTTTTGAGTGGGCGGGTCCTAATTTGTTTGTTTCGCCTCAAGTATGAAGAATGTCCAGCATGCTACTGAGCCAAGTTACAAGGAGAATAGTTTGATTTATTGAATGTAAATTAGCATTTTTGAATTTGGTTTTTCAATGAAAGAGTATTTACTACGATTTATTCACGAATCATGATTAATATTTACTGCATCCGGGACACGCCACTGTTCGTGATAATGTACATTTCGATCCTAAACGCGATAGCCGTGTGATCAATAATCGGTAGATTAATACTTTAATAATGATTTTGTTTTTACAGATTACTTGTTGCGGTACGGATATACTGTAGGACTCATTGGCCGTGGCAAGATCATTATTCATCAGAGGCAGCCGTCTCTAGCAAAATTTGCGTGGGTAGATGCGTACGTATAGTTTAGCATGCACTGAACAATTGCGTCTAGAATAAGATAATTAACTAAATTGTGTTTGATAAAAAAAAAAACAAAAAAAACATGCGCGTAAATTGACAGACTAGATGTACGAACAATGGGCGTACCGGTACCCCTTGTACTTTATTATCATTACTGTTGATACGGCAATGTTAATACTATTGTGCAACGCAAACATCCCGTAAGGTGTATGTGCTCAGTCTCTCCGATTTCGTGTGACGTATTTTTTAATAAGCCGTTTCGATAATAATAGCAAATACCAAGTGATATATACTGAGCAAGCAGTGAACACCGCGATCGGTTCGTTACCAATAGCGGTCGCGGGTTGTCGAAATTCCGCTGAACATTGCCGAACACATTGTTAACGCAGCCTACCAGCCGCGTGTGCTGCACGAGAAAACGATTTGTTTTACGCGAGCGGTGTAAGAGTTTTTTAAGGGACGGGATGCTTCGATAACTAATTAATCTCGTCGCCACGCCCCCGCGAGCAAAACGCTGTCGAGCACACTACGAAAACAACAAGTTACAAATACTGAGCCACGCTGAGCCACTAATCGGTCCGCACAATCAGTACACGGGTTAATGACGACATTCTCGAACTTTCGACTGTACATTTTACTGTTTAATAATTCGGTACGGGTACTGGACGGTTCTTTTAACATCGTCGAACACTCGTTATTTCAAAATGTATTGGTTTTTTTGTTTTTTTTTTTTTTTGTAAAATTTGAGTATTTTGCAATTTAAGAAATAAGTGTCTCCAAAATGTTATATTATAATTACTTTTAGTTGTGAAACGTCTGCGTAACTTCGAGGTCGAAAAGCGGACGGGTGCCGTATGCGAGAAGTTGATAAGGCAGTAGAGGGGATGTCTACGCATGCGACGGCAAACCGTTGCTAACGGAAAACGATTCTGAACGTAGTTCGGTTGATAGTGTTGATTTGTCAACATTATATATATATATATATATATATATATATATATATATATGTCATATTATGGTAAAATATGCATTATATACTTTCTTTAATATAATATTCGTTTAATAGTGTACCAATTTTCTCGGTTTTTCTACGTTTTTTCCGTTTATTGGGAAAACTCTTGGGAAAATCAAAAATAATGACATCCCTAAAATATCACCCCAGTCAGATTTTCTTTCAGAAAAAGTGCTATCGTTGCAAATATGAGCGACGTTGCTCGTAGAAGAGTTGTTCACAGAACATCATAAACATCATTTTTACAATACATTCCCCGTTTCGTTCAGAGTCAAAAATCCATTAAATTGATAGAGTATTAGTTTAAATACACTTTTTCGTCGACGCGTTTGATTTCGGTCGACCCATTGACGAGATATTTCACTTTAAAGTTTGGATGCGACACGAGTTCCTAAACAATACAGCGGAACACCATTAAAACGCCGCACGCCGTGCCGCTACACAATTCGTGTTGCACCATACGCTACTACTCCGGCCCAAAACTAATTGATACTGGAATATCTCGTCCGCGGATTGACGGCGACGTTAAAACCGATTTAAAATAAAACGCTTCGCCGATATCCATGGAATTTGTAGTACAGGTCGCCGTTCGGAAACCGATAGTGTGCAGGAATATATTGGGTACAGCCGTTCCCCCTCCCCCCGCCCCCCCAAAAAATAAACGTGACGCGAAATAACGAAAATGTAACGTTTTCGGTGCTGTTTGCCGTTGAATTTTCAAGGGGTAAACAAATAAATTCAACACGTTTCGATATAACGAGACGAGTGTTCGACGATAAAACAATCGTCCCGTAACAATACCTGCCTCGGGCGAAAAGACCGACGCGCACGCTACGCGTCGCTAACGCATAATAATATAGGTAACATATACCTACTCGCGTGTTCGAATCGAAAATCACTTCGGGCCGTAATAATTTCGTTTACGTGTCGACGACAAAAACATAACGCGTGGGTCGTAAAAAAATCGTCGTTCCGGCGACAACATGCGGCGGCGGCGGCGTTATGCTTTAGGCACCTACTCGATCGGTTATTATTATTACGGTCGTTATCGGGTCTGAAGAAAACGAGAGACCGCGCGCGAGAGAGAGAGAGACAGAGAGAGAAATCCCCGGTCACGTCTGGATAATAAACCCCGAAAATATTAATAAGTCTGCCGTTTAACACGCGCGCGCGTATAATAATATAATGTATCGTTTTTTTTTGTTTTTTTTTTCTGGGGGGGTCTGTAAGAAAACAAAACGCAGACTTTGACGACGACGACGGTAGTAATAATAATAACAACTGTACTGGGTGTGCGTGGTGCGTGTATACACGTGTATACGTGGATACACAATATACAATGCGCTACGACGTTTGGGAAAAAGCAGAAAAAAAGAACCGTGTTATTAATATTACGCGCGGCACGACGTCGGAACTCTTGAAAAATCGTTTCCACGTGTGTTCGGGCGGCGGCCCCGGCGACGGGCATGTGGTGCGCTCGCCGGTGCCGCGCGGTCGGGCCGCTCCGCGGCGACGCGACGGAAAACACCGAGAACAGGTCGCCGTCGCCGCGGCGGCCGGAAAGGGCGCGGCCGCCAAAACACTCCCGCGCGTAGACCGCGTCGGGGTACCGCGGCCGTTGTCACACGCGCGCGCGCCCGCGGGTACCGATTCGACGAGGGCCGCGGTTTCGGTTTTCTCCGTTCGTTTCGTTTCACGCACGTCCCCCGCCGTCTGCGGGTTTTTCTCGGCGCGGCGTCCGGGAGAACGTAAGCGAACGCGTAACGACGGCTCGTCTCTATCGACCCGTACAGGACGGTTCGCCGGGCGCGTCCGCCCGGTGTTTCCGGTCGCGTTCCGCGATTTTCGGGAATTTCCGTACGTAGAGCGGGACGCGAATGAAACGCCGCCGCGCGGGTGACAATCCGCTATGCTCTCCTCCCTCCCCTCCCCCCCTCCCCCGTCTACAACTTCGACGTAAAAGCGAAACGTCTCGTCGACGGGGCGCCGCCGCCAATCGAAAATCGCAACACCGGAATCGATTTCGAAAATCGACGAAAACACCCCCCCCCCCCCCCCCCCGTCTGCTGGCGGGATTTTCAACAAAGGTTCTCGACATTCTTTGACCGCGTTTGAAAACGAGCAACTTTTCTATTAGCATTCTCGTTCTCAATGTCAAGGGACGTTTTTGTTGCGTTTCGCGTACAGTCGGTGCATTGGGCGAGATCGTTTTTTTTTTTTTTTCAATCGACAAGCCGATTTCATAGTATAATTGAGAAAACCGGGGAAAAAAATTAATAAAAACCGACAAATTAACGATATGATTAAAACGTAAATTTGAACGCCCGACGTTTTCTGCCTGAAATATTTCTCCAATTATAAAGTAATAAAACATCGTTTTATCGCATTTTTATTCTAGCTGGTGAATAAAAAAAGTCGGTTTTTGATTTTTTCTGCGTTTTTTTTTTTTAATAATTTGACGATACCGAAAAGAGAAATGTAGAAATTACGGGAAAATTATGACCAATAGTAGACAATCTTGTCGTTTTTGTTGTAATTTAATTAAAAATATAACTTGAAATTTTGAAAGGAAATTTATATTTACGTTTCCTAGACGTGTTCAAAATGTTCAAGACATTTCAGCCGTTCTTAAGCTATTTAAAGACATTTTAATTTTCCGATTTTGTTACACACATTTTTATGCTCTGTGGATAAATAGAAACGCACGAAAATTTGATTGGAGGTCCGCTATAAGCAGTTTACCAGAAAAACGTGAATTTAATGTAGCTTTTTTTTCCATTTTTCTTTTAACAATTATCATATCAGTCAGATTTTTACGAAAATCATACGTGTTACATGCCTTTCAACGTGCGCGTAACAGAACTCCGCTCGGTAATCGTTTTTCGTCAGCAACGGTTCCTCTTAAATCTATCAATTAAATTGCAATATTATGTTATATCCTCTCCAGGAACCTAGGGTCCCTTAAACCAGTGACGCGCCTATCGGCGGCGTCGGCTTTTTCCGATACAATTTATCCGGTAAGACGTTTCCCATATTTGCGCGAGTGAGAGAAAAAAAGTAAAAGTAAAACAAGAGGATTTATCGAAAGAAACAAAAAAAGATTGTCGAAATGAAATATTAAAAAAAAAAAAAATCTCAAAACTGAAGGGAAAAAGCACGCCGACGGCACGCGGTGTTCCCAAGCGGTCACCCATCCGAGTGGCACTACTAACCGCGGCCCGACGTTGCTGTGAACTTCGGTGATCGGACGAGAACTGGCGTGTTCAACGCGGTATGGCCGTTGGCGGAAACGCGAAACTCTGGTAAGCTATTTAACCATCGCGCCGGTGCCGCTCACGACTACGGCGTTCGGTAAAAATAGACGAAAAATAAAAAAAAAAAATGTGGGTGTTCTGTAGCGTTTCTTTTTTCTTTTTTTTTTTCCTATACAAATTTTGATGAAAACCCGTGAACACTACGGCTTTTCAATACACGCACACAACCGAGACCCTCGTTAGCGTTGGTTTATCGCTGTTTACAGATGTGAATTAATTGAATAGCTTCAGAAGGTTGTCTAACTCGCCAACTTCAAATTTTGACGGAAACCGTAAATATTATTATGCCTACAGCTCGCGCGTATTGCGGAATTTCGCTTTGAACAGTATTTTCGTTATCGATTTCGTTTATTGCCACTTACAGATAATGTAAATAAAATGACTTTGTGCATCTTACCCGCCTGTAATTCCCACCTGTAACAGTGGAGCGCCCGTCATCAGCGATATCGGCTAATTTTATTTTTATTTTTTTTTCTCCCTCTCTCTGTTTATAAACAATCGTGTCACTTTTCTATTAGTTATTGCGTCGTGAAAAAAAATGAAAATACACAAAACGTCCAACCGCTGATTTCAATAACAACTACCTGTCCGAAACGTTGACTTTACTAAATACGATTGTTTTTTTTTTTTTTTTTTTTTTTTTTCGAAATATTTATCATTATTATAACACATTACGGTTTACAGAGTGGCAAATTCAAATGCGGATAATTCACACAGCTAGTAAACGCAGCGCGCTCTTGCGGTTCGGCGGGATCGTCTGGCCGGGCTATGAAATACACCGCAGCACAGCGCTCGACTATCGAAATAAAATCAATTTTAAAGGTTTCATTGAGTAATAAATATTATTTACCTACTATTGGCAATAATATTGCGTTCGAGGTTACCCGCCAGTCGTGTAGACAACTAAATAAACATTCAACGATAATAATGACGACTGGCGCGTCTTGTTATTATAGAAAAGTTGTTTTTTTTATTATTATTATTTTAATAACAGTGTGAACAAATATCGGTTGTTTAATTATTTTTTTTTTTTTTTTATCAATCTGTCGATTTAACGTTCGATATTAACCGTGTAGACACTGATACATTGAACAATTCGCCTTCTAGCCGTTTTCGGATTAGTTAAATATAGGTACGCATAGGTGCGTAATTGAAACAGCCTTTGCCAATCCGCTGTCGTAATGCATGGAATTCTTTTCAACGCACTCGTTTCTCGCGTATACCCGACTGACTTTCATAATTCATTACCATCTCAATGCGATAACATAAGTCATTGGAAACATTATTGTTCGTTGGATTGACGAGACGTATCTGTATAAAATCAGGAAGTGACAAGTGCACACGTACATAATGTGCCGAGTCAGTGCGAGTTTAAAAGATCATTGAATATTGAAACTGTCACGATTATCCTCGAACACTAACCGGACCTACTCTCGCAAGGCCGTCCAGCCGTTCCCTTCTAGACACCGATCGTCGAGATCGTATAATAATATTTGTACTATTATCGAAACCTATTGACGACTGTGAAAAATGCGCATTTTTTTTTTTTTTTTTTTTTATGTACGTTGCTCGATTTGGAAAAAATAAAAGACGGGTGACTGTGGGACATAAAAAATGTATCGTCTCTTGCAACTATCGACTTCGACCTATCTAACCCACAGGAGAATGCGTCCCCACGGACCCCTTACACTAACTGTGCAAAACAATTCCGTAATCCACGACATTTAACACAATCCATAGAATTACATAATTAGATAGTTGCAATTGTATGCCTCAAACAATAATCGAAAGCGCTCGGCAATCGTTTAGCTATCGTTCGCCCCTGGTGGAAGAGCTCCGTACCCTGGCGTCCCTCTTCCCAATTCAAGCACTGATCATAATAATAATCGTCCGTTTTAAAATAGTTCGATGCGATATTGTCGAGCGACTGAAATTAGAAAAAAAAAAATACATTTGTTAGTTACCCCTCGAAAATTGTTAGATTAATAAATAAATATTCGTAATAATACTCACCACAAAAATTTAAAAAAACAACGATTTTCGAGTGAAATTATGCGAAATAGAAAACAAAAATATTTCGTTTGAAAACCTATACGTTTTTACTGAATTATTTTCATGTATTGGATTCTAAATGTAGATCGGTATTTTTATTGTTATATTATTGTGCGGTTTTTTTATTTTTCCGTTTGCGTCAGTAGCTAAACGACTTTTTTTTACCTGAAATCGTCGACGTCACGAATGATTCGGTAGAAAATTTAAAATGATAAAATCGTCAACACGGTAAATGAAAAATGCAAAAAAAATGTCTCTTGTCGTTTTTAAATTTAATTTACAATTGAAAAGTTGCTCGCACGCACAAAACATAAAAAAAAAAAACGCGCATACGTCACCGATACATTCCTCGCTCAGCTTAGTAACACCGTAAAAACCAAACATTTTCACCGATCAATTTATATTAGGATATTTAAAAAAAAAGCACCTATACGCAAGCAGTGGTGTTGTGTGCAAGTGAAACATTTTTTTACTAAAATGTCAATTTCAAAAATAAGTATTTAAATCGGTACACTTGTTACACGATAAACCGTGTGTTATTAAATTCAGCAGATTGGTCAGCTGCTGGATTTTACTGTTCCTAAACTCAGCTGTTGAGTGTTCACCAGTCCGCTGGAGGAGAAGTGACCAAGTGGGTTGCTTTGTCAGCAATCTGTAGTTATCCGGCTAGACGAACAAAAAGCCAGACGGATTTGATAAAATCACTCGCCAAATTCTAACATTCAAAGGTTTCATTAAAGGTTATTGCGGTTTTGTGTCGTTTTGTCTCAATCTCAGTCGTCTTTCACGCGTTCTTTAAAATTTCGCTTTTGCTGTTTTTTGTCTTTGCCAGTCTCAGTCGTGGTTCATTTTCGTTGAAAAATAAAAACTGAAACTATCGAAATTCGATTTGTATACGATAATTGTATTCGTAAACCGTAGTAAACAATTACATATATAAATACAATTACTCGTACATTATTTGATTGCAGTGAGTACGTATTTGTCAGTAGGTATAAAACACGAAATTATAATAAAACTGAAAATAATAAATAATTGTATACCAGGCGATCCATTTAAGTGGGTACAATCATTTTCTTGGAAAGTATTAACTTTTTCGGAATCTGTTTTCTAGAACGTTTACGAAACGAACGGCTCTACAATTTTATAGTTTTATTATTTTTTATCATCCTTATTTTTGAGGGCAAAACCACTTGCTACTTTTGATTTTCGAATGGCGACCTGTATTAAAAAGTCCACAAACGGTTGGAATAGTATTTAAAATAAATTTCATTGTTGACATATTTGATTTCTGTCCAGCCGTTGACGAGATATTCCGTTTTTAAGTTCGGGTCGGAGGAGAGTAGCGGAGTATCGTTTTTGTAGCGATACGGCGCGCGGCGTGTTAATAACGCACCACTACGGTTTTACATCTGAAAAAAAGGGTTGCAAAAAATAACATTGGTATAAAATTATAGAGCAGCTTGGTTTTTTCTTGAAAACAAATTCCGAAAATAGTTAATACTTTCCGAGATAATGAGTGTACCCACTTAAATGGATCACCTTGTACAATATGATAATTGTGATTTGTTGTCAAATGACAATAGAATGTACGCTCATGATGTGTTTTATATTATCAACGACAATTTTCGGATTGCCCGCTAGTAGTGTCAGATAATGGGTATTTCGGTGTTTCTAACACTCCCGTCGATCCGCTGAGCATTTCGCTGGATCGGCAGGCGGATTTAGAAACACAAGTGGAAATCATGAACTGTAGTCAATTAAATTGTATTTCTTATTTTTTTGTTTCATAGTTGAAAATTATCGTACGTTTTTTTTTTTTTTTTTTTTCAATTTCGTTTCACATTTTATCAACATAAGATTCACTCCGCTCGACACTCATATCTCCACTCTCGTCTACTCCTGAAATTCCCCTAAATCGCGTCGCGTCGCCGTGACGAAACATTCACACATTTTTACGCGCTTTTTATTTGGTATTTTTATTATTATTGGTTTTTTTTTTCATTATCGTTTGGTTTATTATATTTCACTATAGTTATCTACCTATTTGTCACTCAGTTTTTTTTTTTTTTCAATTTCGTTTCACATTTTATTACTTAGTACAGTATAGTGTTTGTTTACAATCCCGGATACCCAACAACACACTGCCGCTGCGATTTTTTCATCCGTACGTAACATTCGTGTATTCTACACACTGTAATGTTACCGCAGTATTGAAATTTTATATTCGAGACGTAGTTCACGGTGTACTACGATAACGCGAACGACAACGGCGTCAAAATATATTTTTGTATGTACAAATATATATTATGTATTTTATATATTACGGTGATAAAATTATTATCATTTTTATCTTAAACAAATTAGTGGAACGCTATTGTTTCGTCCACATTCCCAGACGACAACGCCGCTAAACATTGAAATTTCAAAAATATCATTCATGAGTCGAGAATAATTTCGGAATTAACGTTATTGTCGCGTTTCACGAACGTTTAAACCGGCGGTTCCGAAAACGGCCCATACTGACCCGCGACGGGTCCGTGTTATCGAGGAGGTGCACGAGACGTAAATGTGTGAATCTTCTTCCGTGGATTCGGATTCCTCGTATTTCATTGTCCTTTGCATCATATACGAATCGGCGGTTATTAGGATTTTCAAATTTACCGCGACAATCGCGTTTTGGATTTTCGCCGTTAATATAATGCTAGAAAAATGGTGGTTGGATTCTTTTCATAAAAAAAAAAAAAAAAACAAAAATGTTATTTCAATGTTTCGCGAATATTAAAACAGTGGCCCGAAAACGACTAGGTATACAGTACATTTTCGAGAACATATCGATAACGTTTATTATAAACTAATTCGCATGTTGTCGGAACGTTGTTGTTATAAAAAAAAATAAGATTTCCTCTAAATATCCCG